AAACTGATGAAAAGAATATTAATAGATAAGTTAGGCAAGAACGTCCGCTTGTGAAGCCATGCTGGGAATCATTGATCAATCTGTGCTTCTCCAGGTGATTTCGAATAGAATTTAAAATGATTGCTTCCAGTAATTTGCCTACTATTGATGTTAGACTGATTGGGCGATAGTTAGAGGATATTGATCTATCTAGGTGAGGTTAGGTTAGCGAAGTGCATCACGATGGATCTGAGTTATCTCCCTTGTTCACGAACTCTTTGGCATTTAGCGTTCGCCAATACTGAAAGTTTTTCGCTGTTTATTATTTCATCTTAAAAATTATTTTTACAAAATTACACTAAAAATATTATTAAACATGTTTTGTGTATGTATAACAGATATTCGTTAAGATTTTACCCTTATTTGCTATACTTTTGGGTACTTTTGGGTAATTCGTGGCTCCCGCCAGTGCATGCCCAGTATTTGCCAACAGTGCGTGATAGAGACTGTAGTGGAATTCTCCCCTACAAACGCTGTTTTTCGCTGCCTAGCCGACCCCACCAATTCCCCAGTGTATGCCTCGTGGTCCAGGTCAACCAGCGCCGCCATACATCACGGAGCGGGGGTCAACTACTAAGCCACGCCTACCCCCGCTATTTAAGACCTGACCTCGTGGTGACCTGTCTCTTTTCTACCTACACCAACCAGCCAGCTACACCTCCTCCTCCTCCGACTGCCTGGTGGTCCTCGCTCCCGCCGGCGAGCATGGCGACCCACAAGCTGTCCTCCTCTGAGCATCCTCACCAACCAGCTCTCTCTACATCACGCTTGTAACCATGCTGCCTTCCCAGCATCAAGCTGCATTGTACATCCAATACAACATGTATACAGAGAGCACATTGTGAGTTTCCTTTCTCCAACCCATCCTGAGTGTGAACACCAAACATACCATACCCCACAAATGGTGACTCCCGGAGATTCGCACTCACACAGGATGGAGGAGAAACTGATCACGCTCCCAGTCTTCAAGCAACATGGAAGACTGGCTTATCCACCCAGAAGCAGCTCTCATCAGCTCTACAGCTACTGTCTCTACACCGCAGGTCAGACACCCTAGAGCAGCCCTGCTACTCTAAGCAGACAGTTGCTCCTCTTCCGACCCCAGCACACCCGTCCTGCCTCAGACGCCGACCCCGGCCCAGCAGTAACCCCTGCTGCCCCTGATGCGGCCTCTGTTCCTGAGTGCGGACCCACACACCCCTCTTTTCTCCCTCAGGTACTCCCTGCTAATGTCCTGCATCCTGCTGCTGTCGTGGACCCAGCTGTTGTCACGAGCCCTCATCCGCTTCTGCTGACGCAGCCCCTGCTCCTGACCCAGGCCCACACACCCCAGCAGGCGCATCTGACGACTCTGTACCTGCCGTGAGGGAAGCACAACATTCATCGCCTCCACACACCCTTTTTCTCCCTCTCTTCTCCCACAGATAGTGTGTATCTAGACAGTTGTATCCAGCGACAGGCTCATCCACGCCATCGCCGTTGTCTCACATGAGGCATGCACCGCCAGTTCTGCCTCACATGTGCTAAGCAACTCTGCAGACAACAAGTCTCCTACACCGCCTGGAGGGAAGGGGGAGTATTGTAGTGGAATTCTCCCCTACAAACGCTGTTTGTCGCTGAGTAGCCGACCCCACCAATTCCCCAGTGTATGCCTCGTGGTCTGGGTCAACCAGCGCCGCCATACACCACGGAGCGGGGGTCAACTGCTAAGCCACGCCTACCCCTGCTATTTAAGACCTGACCTCGTGGTGATCACCCTCTTTCTACCTACAGCCGCAGCCAGCCACACCTCCTCCTCCGCCGCTGCCTGGCGGCCCTCGTTCCTCCTCCGCCTGCCTGGTGGTCCTCTCTCCCGCTGGCGAGCATGGCGACCCACAAGCTGTCCTTCTCTGAGCGTCCTCACCAACCAGCTCTCTCTACATCACGCTTGTAACCATGCTGCCTTCCCAGCACCAAGCTGCATTGTACATCCAATACAACATGTATATAGAGAGCACATTGTGAGTTTCCTTTCTCCAACCCATCCTGAGTGTGAACCAAATATCTTGAACCCCACAAGACGTTGTAGTGGATTTCTCCCCTACAAACGCTGTTTGTCGCTGAGTAGCCGACCCCGCGAATTCCCCAGTGTATGCCTCGTGGTCTAGGTCAACCAGCGCCGCCATACATCACGGAGGTCAACTATTAAGCCACGCCTACCTCCGATATATAAGACCTGACCTCGTGGTGACCTACCTCTCTCTTCTTCTAGCTACAGCCGCAGCAAGCTACACCAAGTCCTCCGCCTGCCTGGCGGCCCTCGCTCCCGCCGGCGAGCATGGCGACCCACAAGCTGTCTTCCTCTGAGCATCCTCACCAACCAACTCTCTCTATATCACGCCTGTAACCATGATGCCACTTCCCAGCACCAAGCTGCATTGTACATCCAATACAACATGTATACAGAGAGCACATTGTGAGTTTCCTTTCTCCATCCCATTCTGACTGTGAACCAAACTTCTCGTACCCCACAACGTGACCGAGCGCCCGGGCGGCTAGCGAGCCGATCAGTGGCGAAGAGGATAAAAGTAAATGTACTTGCCAACAGTGCGTAACAGAGACGTGACAGATCGCCAAAACGGCTAGCGAGCCGATCAGTGGTGAAGAGGATAGAAGTAAAGGTAAAAGAATAAACTTACGGCGTTTGAGGACAGGCGGTAATGATTACATGGTGGCTGTTGCCTGTTAGGATTACACCAAACAAATTTGTTCATCGGTTGAGAGGTATGTTTGAACAATACAACACTTGGAGTTATACAAATATTTTCAAAAACTAAAAGCAGACATCTAAATTATATTGTGTTAGAACAACATTAGGCTCGTAGGTGCAGACAACACAGGTGGCTCTGACGGGTGACAGCAGACACTAGAGTGTTGTTCTCGGCGGCCAGGTCGGACAGGTACTGCTGTGTCCCTTCTCTTTTATATGGGGCAGTCATCAATTATTGACGACTGACCCGTCGCTGATATTTCATAGAAAACTAATTTAAAAACTGCAATTTCACTGTAATTAGTTGTTTTTTCGTTTCTATTCACTATTATCCTTATACTTACGGAGTGGATGTGTTGCCGTGACCTGCTAAACTCATACTAACGCTATTTTACCGTGAGTGCGCTCTGATTGGCTAAATACTTTCTGTTTAATATGACGGGGGGGGGGGTGAGTTATCCCCCCCGGCAAGAAAGTTAGGTAGGTTTTTTGGTTGATTAGGTCAGGTTTTATTAGGTTTGGTAAAATTTCACTTGTTGGCACGATACAAAATCGAAGTTGAAACTATGTTTTTCCGATGGTTTTTGATGTGTTATGAAGGATATTGACCTTGATTTTTGGTGCAAATCAATAATTTCTGAGATTAACCCCCCCCCCCCTTTCCGTATTGGAATCCAGAGAGTTGCTATAAAAATTGGCTATTATGGAGGACTTCACAGCTGATGGGTTATTTGTTTTGATGTTTATATTTTACTAGATTTTAATAATTGAGTTGTGGTTTAATAATTTTGGGGGGGAAATTGCTTCATTTTTGTTAGATAATTGGCGACTAGGCATGCACTAGTGACAATACTTTGTCTTTTCCGGCATAATGTGGCGGTACACAGCCAATCATCTCTGATCGACGCCAGTCGCTAGTGTATGTTTATAAGCCACATGGATCGGGTCGCTGCTCTCACATCCATAAAAAATTTCAATAAAATTGCAGATTACAGCAATCAAAGAATCTGATAAAAAAAAATGTTACCTAACCTAATGTAAAATAATAAATGATCAAAGAAAAAATAGTTCTATCGATTGAGTGTAGTGAGTTTCCGGAATTCTGTAGTTGCTGTTTACTGCAATATTACCAAAACGTCAAATTACACCAAATAAGAATAAGTTCTCTCTGTTTAATATGCCGGCTGAAATTAATGGGTATTATTTTAGTTTTGGTCATCCAGAGAATCTTAGGAATTTAACTATAAAAATCAATAGTTTATACAATTTTAAGGCAACATTTGGTAAAGATTCATTTTAATGTTCCCTTCGTTTTTACAGGGAAATATATTTTTATGGTGTATTTTGGTGGTTTGAGTTAATACAGTAATGTATTTGTTTAATGGCTGAAGCAAGATTTTCTTATTTGGTTATTCTGGGATTATTAAAAAAAACTTACGAATACAGATACCTGTATATTTCTTTCCTTGGGCAAATAAGGTTTGGTTAGGTTAGGTTTCAACAGGTTTTTTTTTTTGTGTGTGTGTGTATATATATATATATATATATATATATATATATATATATATATATATATATATATATATATATATATATATCTCTCTATCTATCTATCTATCTATCTATCTATCTATCTATCTATCTATATATTAGGGGCAGGGAAAAAACACTTTTATTTGAGTTGCAGGCTGCACTTTTCAGGCATCGTTTGTATGGCTGTAACAAACACCTGTGCAAAATTTCACGCCATTTCATGCATACTTACCCTGCCGCATCGCGAACGACTTTTTGTCAACTTTTAGTGTATACCAAAAATTAGGTGTCATTTAATGTTTTCCAGGATAATGATAAATTTTACATAAGAACATAAGAATGGAGGAAACTGCAGTGGGCCTATTGGCCCATACTGGGCAGTCCCATTTACACCCAACCCCAATTGCTCATATATCCATCCAACCTATGTTTGAAGCTATCCAGTGTATTCGAGTTAATGATGATATTTGGTAACTTGTTCCACTCGTCCACTACAGTGGTCCCTAGGTTAATTAATGGTTTGGTTAACGAATTACCTTCCATAAAAATCTTCAATTCGGTTAACGAACAAAAATTTGATTCACGAAATCCTTACGAACATCACGTATTGTTGTGAGCATCAGCTGATGGGCTAGTCTGCCAATTCAGTTATCTATTCTATGTTTACATTCGTTTCCAATGGAATAAATATCAAGAAAATTGTGCTCCTTAATATTTGTGCAAAATGAATACTAAAATTTTAGTCTAGTGCAAACTATTGCATGTTTACATTCAAACTAATCACTATCTTACAAGAATTCCAGCAATGCAAATTATATTCTCCCCGGTCACTTCTATGAAATTGTATAAGCAAAAAACAAAAACTTAACTAAATGACATAAATAAACAAATAAATACTTCACTAGACCTTCAGCGCCAACATATCACCCCACCTCCCACTCCGCCCCCTCCCTCCTTCTCCCTAGCCAGGGTTTTAGGCTTACAGTTTTCATCTTATATAATATCTCAGACTAAAGTTAGGAGAATATAATTTGCATTGCTGGAATCCCCGCAAGACAGAGAACAATTTGAATATAAATGTCATATATTTTGCACAAGAGATAAAAATTAATCACCTGTATCACATTACAGTAGTGATTTAAGAGTAAGAGTGTGTATGTATGTATGTATGTATGTATGTATATATATATATATATGTATATATATATGAATATATATATGTATATATATATATATATATATATATATATATATATATATATATATATATATATATATATATATATATATATATATATATATATATATATATATATATATATATATATATATATATACACAGTATATAGATAGATAGTGATTTAAGGGCGATTTAGGGAATTCTAGGAATGTTTCTGACTTTATGCATTTTATGGCTGTACTTTGTATGTACTTTTCTGTGAGCTGGAACCAATTACCCAATATTCCATTGAAATAATGGATTCGGTTTACAAAATTTTCGGTTAACGAATGACTCTGGAACGAATTGTGTTCATTAACCGAGGGACCACTGTACAGTACTCTATTTCCAAACCAATGTTTACCTATATCATGCCTAAATCTAAATTTGTCTAATTTAAAACCATTGTTACCCAATGGTACCCAAACTGAAGCTGTCATACAGATCTGCCAGCCTCCATTAGTATGTGTTACTGTCAAGATTAACTTAGGTAGCATGGGAGGGTGTGCTGTATCCTCTGAAATTTAACACTCATTGTACTTCTTTTGAACTGAACTACTTCAAATGACACATCTGAGAGAAGCTGAAGCTTTTACTACTTAATGGACAATATCTTCTCATGGGGATCTGTTCTGAAGTCCAAGAATTAACAAAAATCACAATTCCAATCCACATTAAGCCAGTAAAAGAAGAAATTCCACTCCCTCTTGACTTGTATTCATTCAACTAACATAGACCCTAAGTTAAGGGACCAGGATCGATCACACCTTCAAGGAAAAGGGTTAGCTGCCCCAGGAAAATTTAAGGTAATATCAAATAATGTGTTCCATAATGCTTAATACTCCAATGTTTTCTACATCACTTATGGTGATCAGATCTTGTAACTAACTGATCAGAACATTTTCTGTGAGTAGTGTGAGCTATCCGGTATGTCATTGGATTTTGGAGGAATTTTTCAGACAGGCTAAATGGGTCTTTCAGCCTTTAAGACAATATCTACAACAAGAGAGGACCATTTTATTTTTAAGAGTTCAAAGATCCAGGTAAAGTTGGAAAGCAGCTGTTTAGGTAGTAATCTGGCAATCAAATAAGTAATATTTCAGAATATTCTTTTCATACACATACCATACTGGTGTTAGATATTCCTTACCTGCCAATCCTCCTGTTTTTCCAATTTGTCGAGTGTTGCATTAAAACGCTTCAGAGTGTCAGGACAATTCAGTTCATCTTCCGCAAGCCATGAGTCGTACTTGGAACCCCAACCTTTCCACCGAACTTTGTACTCTGTGCGACCTTTCACTTCTCTGAGTCCCATATATATATATTAGGGGGCAGTGAAATTTTGCTCAAAGCTGCACTCTTCAGGCATTGTTCCTTATACATATCTAAGACTCCATGCCAAATTTGAAGCTGATATGTCGAGGTTTAGTCTGCCGCATTTTCTACTGAAATTTTTAAATTTACCTACAGTACTAGCCAAACAGCCGCTGTGGCGGTGCAATGTTCTGTTCAGTGTTTATCAACTTTTTTTTCCTATCTCTTATTTCATTTAAGTTGTCTTGTTGCAGATGAGTATGGTGCTATGTCTATATTGATTATCAGCCTTTTCTCATTTCATTTCTCAATGTTGTGTTACTGTACTGTAATGGAGGGAAGACCGCCACTCATGTGATGATAAAGAATGAGAAGACCGAGAAATGGAGTTCGAGGATGATGGTGAAAGATCATTATGTCATCATGGTTGAGCCTGGCAATGAATATCTCACACATGTGACTCCCAAGACTGGACACGGAAAGCAGATTGCCAAAACTATTCACGAGTTTCTGGTGGAGAAAAATCTAACCCAGCAGCCCATTGTGTGTGTTGGTTGTGATGGAACCAATGTAATGTAGGATCAGAAAATGGAGTCATTCATCATCTTGAAATGTTACTTGGTCACCCGCTCCATTATTTCATATGTCAGCTTCACGGAAATGAGCTGCCTTTCCGCGCAGTTTTTTATCACTGATGGTAAACCAAGTGGTCCTGAGTATTGGCGTGGTCCCATTGGAAAGCAGATCAAGGAGTCTTTGTCTGAGCTTCCAGTTGTCGCCTTCCAGCCAGTCAGTTTCCCTGATTTCCCTGTGTTTAATGATGAAGTGGAGAAAGATCTGTCCTGGGATCAGAAAATACCTGTATAGGATTTGTAAAGGAGTTATCACAGGTGTTGTTGAAGATGACTTGGCTGCTATTGAGCCAGGTCCTCCCTGTGTGTCAAGGTGGAACACCTTATGGAGTAGAATCCTCAGGCTGTATGTAGCAACATCAAGACCCAGCCATGAGTTGAAAAGAATTGTCATTACAATAATAAAGTTCAGTGCTCCAATGTGGTTTTACATCAAGATACACCTTTACGTAACACACGGCTCAAGGAACGTATTCCAGTCCCTGCTATATATGAAACACCTGAATAGTGAGGAGGAGACGATAGTGAAGAAGGCTGTCCAGAGAAATGCATACTTCGCCCACACAGATCAACTTCTTGGTATGTGTGCAGATGAGGA